AGGGATATGAGGGAAAATCTTGAGTAAAAACAGTGACTCTTGTTGATCTCATTAATCAGCAGCTTACATTGGTGTGAGTATGGTAATTTATGTCATTAATTGGTAAGAACTTTTGTGTTTTTGATAATCAGGAGTTTAATTATAGTTCATTTTACAAAGAAAATAATTATATTGACTTATGAAACTGTTACAGTTTAAGAGAATCAGAGATGCTGCTACTCTCTTGAATTTTTGAGTGTTTTAGCTTTAACCATGAGTTGCTATTGCAGTTTAAAACTTTTTGGTGCTGAGAGATAGTATTTTATCTCTATATCAATCACATTCACCTGTGACTTGACTAATAGTTTATTCTGGATTACTTAACAATATTAATTTCAGTACATGAACACATGCAGATAAATTCGTTTAAAGAACAAAATGGATAAACCTAATTTTAAGTTTAAAGTAATTTTTCCCTGCTAAAGTGTGTTTGTTTGACTATAAATGTGTTTGTGCTTTTATTGTAGGCTTTCCTGGGTTCTTCTGTATACAAGTTTGATTTTCCTCATGTCACTTCTTATGGCAGTTATTGCTACAGCCTCTTCCTTATTCCCCCAGAGTAGCAGCCTTGTGATTTTTCTACTGTTCTTCTTATATGGATTATCATCTGTGAGTATTTTAACTCGAAATATCAAAGTACCTTGGTAAAACTTAGTCAGTTTTCCATTAAAGATATTTTCACTAAGTTGCAGATAAATAACTAGATAGTACATGATGTAGTTTGTATTACAATGCTTTTAGAAAAATTATAACCTCATATTTAAATCTAACTTGTTTTGGTGTATTACACTTTACATAGTTCTTCTGCTGTTGTCTTTAGATAGTTGGTGGAAGATTGCACAGCGCTGTATTTTTCCCCCTTTCATGAGGCCTTGACTCTTTCAAGTTAGTTTATGTTATAGGACAATTAGTTTTAAAGGTTTTTTTTTTAATGTAGTTCTTTAGTAGTCTTGATATTCATTTGGTATACTGACTGATGAATGTAATGACTGGCATGTTTTAAATGACTCCAGTTTTCATTATGATTGATTTATGTGCCCATTTGTATATTGTTAAATAACTTTACTATCATTTAAATTCTTTAAATAATAAATTATAAATAACTCATATTTCCAGTATAATGATCTAATATATCATTTTCAGCATTCAGTTTAAAACATAGTTTCTTTGTTTAAAAGCTTACTGGGGAGTCGGGGTGATGACCCAGTAGCTAAAATGCTTGTCTAGCAAAGATAAGGGCCTGAGTTAAGATCTCTAGCTCCCTATAAAGTCTGGGTGCAGCAGTGTGTATCTGAAACACCAGTGTGGGTGTGAGGATTGGGAAGATGAGGGGATAGAAACAGGTGGGCCCCTGAAACTAATTAGTCATTACATTGTTCCTAATGGTCTCTATTGTATAAATGTGATTATCTTCCTATCATACAGATAAAATGTAGGCATTAATATTTGCCAATTTAAAAATTTTAAATGTGTGTCTCTGTGTGAAAATAAAACATCTTTTCATAACATTTAGAAATTGTGTTTTAACAGCTGTGGTTTCTCATGAATAGAACTTTCTTTCACAAAAAAGTTAATTTTGCTTTTGTGTCAGTGTATATGAGTTACACATTAACCTTAACATTTATGTTTTTTAGGTGTTTTTTGCTTTAATGCTGACACCTCTTTTTAAAAAATCTAAACACGTGGGAGTAGCTGAGTTTTTTTTCACTGTGGCGTTTGGATTTGTTGGCCTTTTAATAGTCCTCGTGGAAAGCTTCCCCCGATCTCTAGTGTGGCTCTTCAGTCCTCTCTGTCAGTGTACCTTTCTGATCGGTATTGCCCAGGTAGGTGATCCACGCATCTTCATCCCCCGCTATTTTCTCTTCTTCCAGTTCAGTGCAGTGTCTTGTCCTGTCACTGACTTCTAAACAAACACCACTAACATTTCATGAGAAAGCAATGTAGAAAGACTGTTAAATCTCATCAGAAAGAAATGTACTGCAGTCTCTTTTATATCTGCTGTCACTTAGAATGTCTCCGATTTTAAGTTCTCATTAAGTATCTTGCATACAAGTTCTACAGGTTTTTCTTAGTGTATTTCATAACTCTATTTCAGTGTAATAATTCAGTTTATTAGAAGTCACTGGTTTGAGTTACAGATAATCTTCATCGCTCTACTGTAAACACTTACACGTTTATTTCAGAAGAATGCCAGACAGAAAGTTGTGTATGCCACAGAGCAAAGTTTCATGAGTAAAATAATAAAATATTTTAGTGTGTGTAATAGGTTTCATTAGTTTAGGAACCATGGAATAGTCATTCATCTAAATAATATTTAGAATTCAGGCAGGAGAAATGTCTTTTTTATTATTTATTAGATTAAAAAAAATACCAATCCAAGTTTCCATTCCCTCCTCTCCTCCCATTCCCCCCACATACTCTCCCACCTCACACCCATCTAATCCTCAGAGCAGGTAAGGCTCCTTGCTTTGTGGAAGGTCCAAGACCCTCCCTACTATATCTAGGCTGAACAAGCTATGCACCCAAAGAGAATAGGATCCCAAAAAGCCAGTACATGCAGTAGGGATAGATCCTGGTGCCACTGCCAGTGGCCCCTCAGTCTGCCCCAGCCATGCAACTATCATCCACAATCAGAGGGACTAGTTTGGTCCTATGCTTGTTCTTTCCCAGTCTGGCTGGAGTTGGTGCACTCTTATTAGCTCAGGTAAACTGTTTCAGTGGGTGAACCCATTATGGTCTTGACCTATTTGTTCATATTCTCACTCCTTCCACTCTTCCACTAGACTTTAGGAGCTCAGTTCAGTGCTCCGATGTGGGTCTCTGCCTCTGCCCCCATCAGTTGCTGGGTGAAGGCTCTATGTTAATATTTAAGATATTCATCAGTCTGACTACAGAGCAAGTCAAGATCGGGCCCCATCTCCTCTATTGCTTAGGGTCTTAGCCGGGGTCATCCTTGTGGATTTCTGGGAATTTCTCTAGAGCCAGGTTTCTGCTAACCCTATAATAAAGACATCTCTTTCCTTGCTCTCATCTCTGTCCTTCGTCCATCTCGGCTATCCCATTCCCTCAGGTTCTCCTCAATCCTCCCCTTCTCCCACATCTTCCTCTTCTACCCTTCCTTCTTCCCCTACTCCCATGCTCCCAGTTTTATCAGGCGATCTTCTCTGTTTCCAATTTCCAGGTGGATGTATGTATGTTTTTCTTTGGGTTCACTTTATCACTTAGCTTTTCTAGGATCATGAACTATAGGCTCAATGTCCTTTGTTTATAGCTAGTATCCACTTATGAGTTAGTACATACCATACTCATCTTTTTGGGTCTGGATTACCTCACTCAGGATAGGGTTTTCTAATCGCATCCATTTGCATGCAAAGTTCAAGATGTCATGGTTTTTTTTTTTGTTTGTTTGTTTGTTTTTTTTTACCACCGAGTAGTACTCTAATGTGTAAATATGCCACATTTTCTTCATCCATTCTTCAGTTGAGGGGCATCTAGGTTGTTTCCAGGTTCTGGCTATTACAAATAGTGCTGCTGTGAACAAATGCTTTTGTAGTATGATTGCAGGAGACATGTCTCAGTGGTTAAGAGAATTAGTTACTTTTCTAGAGATTCAAAGTCCATTCGCTAGTACCCACATGGTGGCTTTCAAGTGGTTATAATTCTAGTTATAGGGATCTGATGCTCCTTTTTCTTCCATGGGCACCAGGCACACGAATGGTACCCAGGCATATATGCAGACAAAACACTTGTGCACATAAAATAAAAAACCAAAATTTAAAATTAAGACTATTCATATTATAAATTTGGTTTTTTATTTGTCTTACATGTATAGTTAGAATCAAATGAAAAAGTCTCATAAGGAGCTATTTATAGAGTAGAACGTAAACTCAATTATTATATGTGGTTTATATTTAATGTTTTGTAGGTGTTTTATGAGGTAACATTACAGTAGATTATTTATAAATATATTAATTACTTGATTTAATTACTTGGAACTCAAGTGTCATTGTCCTACACTTCGAGACTATACTGTTACACACAGACTTAAGAAGCACAGACTGGGAAAAAAGAAAAGGTGGACATGATGGTACATTCCCTTACTCAACATGCCTTTAAATCCTATAATCAGGAGGCAGAGGCAAGTAGACATCTGTGAGTTCAAGGCCAGCCTGGTCTACACAGAGAGACTCTGCTCAAAAAACAAAACAAACATGCAAAACTTCACACAGAATAGAAACCATGATTAAATGAATCATTTAGATAACCTTTTTTTTTTTAAAAAAAAAAATTTTATTTTTTTGCTGGTCTTTACTGTTTCTCTTTTTTTTTCTGAAAACAAGTTTTATTTAAATAAGGGTTTAAATACAATGCATAACATTGAAACTGTAAGGAAAAAGAAAACCAAAAAAACCAGTTTGTTCCTTCACATGGCACTGGGTAGCTGCTACCATTGAGTTGAAACATACAGCTAGCCACATGATCGATGGCATCAGTTTGGTATTTGTTCCCTTGTCATAAGTTTAATTGATACGAGGCTGACCCCACCCTTCAGTTCTTCCAACATCCCTTGGGATATGCCTGGCTAAAAAGATTTCCACATGTCCATGACCCCTGGGGAAAGATGGTCCTTTCTGAATTCTGCCTACCTGGCCGGTCACCAGGGGCTTACTAGAGACTCCCTCTAGTGGCATAGCTACTGTGGTGTTACCCATTCTCTTGTTCACCTGGGCTGTTCAAGTGGTGACATTCTCCTAGGGCAGGGGATTCTGTAGGGGGGAGCCAAGGAGCTTCTGGGCAGGCATAGCCTATGAACTTGGGGTTCTGAACTTGAACTATAATAACTATATTATAGTTATTATAATAACTATAATAAAGCATAGTTATTGCTTTGTTTCAGGCTGGACATTGCCGGGGCTTACTGCTTGACCTGTTTAAATGAGGGACTTCCAGACTAGACAGCATGGCTCTTTTCAGTTTATTGCATGAAGGAGTTACACTAGTCCAAGTTAAAAGCGGACCCCAAATGGTTACATTATACAAGCTGTGAGGTTTTTAAACTTGTGACAAGGGACAGGAGGGAAATTCTACTCATTGCAAGGAAATCCTCACTTAAGCTTCAGAGTCACAAGCACTTAAAACCCATGAACCTTCAGCTGATCGTCCTTAGCCAGTCCAATCTCTATTAGGAACTGGCATATGTTCTTGCGCTGGTCACCCTGTAGCTGAATTACTTCTCCATATTCTGGATGCCCAATTACAGTACCATTGCAGGCAAATTTCTTCTTAAACGCCTTCACTAGTTTCTTTTTATCGTAATCATCAGCGATCCCTTGGACAGTGGTAAGGGTCTTCCTGCCGTTTCTCTGTTGAATTCCTATATGGATATAATCCTCAGTGCCAGCAGGAAGCAGGTCATCACCCTTACTTGCATCAGCAAAGGGGTCGAAAGAGTGGACCGGCGGGGGGGAGGAGGGACATGGAGCATCGGGAAGCGAGGGGGCTCGAGGGAGAGGCAGCTGAGTCCTCGGTGGTGGCTCAGTGACTGGGGCTAAAAGGAGGGGTGACTAACCCACTGAGCCAACTAGGCAGAGCTTACTGTTTCTCTTATAAGAGCAGGTTACTAATTATTTTTAAATAGCTCTCTTACTGTCACTCTGGTTATAGAGTTGTGTTTAGTGATGTCAGCTTTGTTCTAATCATTTCTATGGAGTAAAGCTGGTGTTTCTGTTTTTAGGTCATGCATCTAGAAGATTTCAATGAAGGGGCCTTATTTTCTAATCTGACTGAAGGCCCCTATCCTCTGATCATTACTGTTATCATGCTTGCTCTTGACAGTGTATTCTATGTCCTCCTAGCTGTGTATCTTGATCAAGTCATTCCAGGTATGTGGTTGGTTACTGTAGAGATTCTAAACAATACTGCTTTTATAGGATCATTTAACTTTTTTTCCCTCCTAGTCAGAGTATTTTAAGTTGTTGATGGTTTAAATTGCTTTTAAGTAATATGTATATATTATGTTGTTTATTCACCAGCCACTAGTGGACATAAGAAATGTGTAATAAGAGAGATGTTTGTTTTGAAACTTCACATCTCAATCCTTTATTATTTTAAACTATTTTATTTTACCCTCTAAAATCCAAACTTGGGAAGCAGTCTTGTAACTCCACACACTTTCCTTCTCTTCTTTTTCACCTCACTCCTCCAGCTCTCCCCCCCCCCACTCATGGCCTCTTTTTTTGTTGTAGTTACATCTGTGTCTTCCTTTCTGTCTGTCTAAATATCTGTCTGACTGCGTAAGTATGTAAATACAGCCTGCTGATCCCCTGTAGTGTTTGTATATGATTTCTGGGCTGACCATGTCACCCTTCATGTTTTACCATGTGTTCTTGAGTTCCTCATTACATCTCTCTGTATTTCAGGTCTGTCTAATATGGTCAGTACTACTTAATGTGATGTTATTTAATTAATCATTACTGGTTTTTTTTTTTGAGACAAGGTCTTATTCTCTAATATTTTCTGATCTGGAACTTGGTGTGTAGTGTCTGCTGGTTTTAGACTCAGAATCTGTCTGCCTCTGCTTCCCAAGTGTTAGGATTCAGTGTGTGTGCTACCACACCCCTCTAATATGACTTTAAAATTAAAATTAAGAAAAATAAGGTTATTTAATATGATTTTAAAAATGCTTTCAGAAATAATGTCTTATAACTCAGTTTTTAATTTCTATTTTTAGGGGAATTTGGCTTAAGGAGATCATCTTTATACTTTCTAAAACCATCATATTGGTCAAAAACCAAAAGAAATTATAAGGAGCTATCAGAGGGTAACATTAATGGGAATATTAGTCTTAGTGAAATTGTTGAGCCTGTTTCTTCAGAATTCATAGGAAAAGAAGCTATAAGGTATGATTCATTTTTTAGAAGTGTAGGTAGAATGGTTGATGGAAATTGTGACTTTTAAATTCTGTAATATACTACCATAAAAGATATGGAATGAGGAAATTTACATTTGTAGGCAGTTTGATAATGCTGACATAAAATGACACCTATTTTCTATTCCCTTTATTACTATAAAAAGCTTTTAATTAATGAAAGATGAAAATAATCTGTAAATTCCTTGAAGCAGTGCTTCTCTTGGAAGTTGTCTTAGCATGAGAATGAGCGAGCGACACGTGAATAGAGAGCAGTGTGCATCATGGCTCCTCAGGAAGGGGGTCCTTAGTGCCAGTGTTCTGGGGTTTCTTGTTATAGCAGGGAAGTGGTTTATTATTTTTCCTATTAAATATTCCAGCCTTTTCTTTCCTCTAGTTTTTGTACGAGAATGCAAATTTATTCATGTTTTGAACATGTGATTACAAAATACCCTTCTAGTTTCACCCATCCATTTCCCCCCCAAATTTGAATATCTGTTACCCAAGTATGTGCATACATCACTGTCTTATAGTATGGAAAGTGTCTCATATTGCTAGAGATGCATATCTAGTTCAAAATTTAAAAGGAACAGCAATTAAGACAGCTTGGATAAAAATATACATGTAAGCACATGTAATCATAAATTTTGTGTGTACATTTAATATAAATCTGTGTTTTTCAGAATAAGTGGTATTCAGAAGGCCTATAGAAAAAAAAACGAAAACGTGGAAGCTTTGAGAAGTAAGTAGCCTGCCCAGAATCTAGTCCGTAGCATCATAATACACTGGAGAAGTTTAAACCTGCCGTCGTGATTTTCTGTCTTGCCGTTGTAGATACCTTATGTAACTAATGTTGATAATAAAACTTAACATCATGGAAGCTGATAAAGCCAGGAAGTGGTGTCTGTTAACATAAAAATAGCCAGTGGTTTGAACCAACTTATGTTCTGTTCTTTTACACTTTACTATTGTGCACAGGGATACATATTAGCTATCTCTTTTTCAGATTCTTTTTGTTGTGATGAACTGTCTTGAGAATTGGGGTACATATATATGTGTCAGTATCATATCAGTAAAATACACATACCCTGTCATTTCTAATCTATGTGACTTTACTCTGGTAGGGTACAATGGTTTGTTAGTCTGGCTTTATTTTACATTGGCCCAAATGCTCCTTATCATTCTTTCATTGGGCATTTGAGTGTTCTTTTTCCTAATTTACCTATTTAAAGTTTTCATTTTTTAGTATTTTAGGTTCATGGCATTTATTAGATAAAGATATTCAAATATCCTATTCTAATCTGAAGCATACCTTTTGGGTCTAAACAGTGTGCTTTGATGAGCATAAGCAAATTCTTAATTTAAATTAGGCCCAAAATATGAGTCTATCATTTGTGACTGCAGTACTATTAATGATAAATGACTCTTTAATTCTTTTACTTAACATTAAAGGTTAATTATTCTACTGGAAGTTATTGCCAGTGCCAAAAAGCAAGAGAAGGAAATAAATGATACCCCGGTTGTAAAGGAACCAGTGAAACCAACATATTTGCAGATGAAATGATTAATCTCTATAATAAATACAGTAAAACTAAACATGTGTTCAGAAAGGTGACAGGGTGCAAGATAAGTATATAAAAAAATCAATTGTGTGTCTGCATTCCAACTAAATAACTAACTAAGTTAAAGTTAAAATAAAGATCACTACTCATGATAGCATCAAAAATACTATGCACTTAATAGATAAATCGACAAAATTGTAGAAGACTTGTATCTTAAGAAGTACAGAACATTTCTGACAAAAGTTTAAGGACAGGTTAAAATACCATGTTTAAGGATTGGAAGAATGAATGTGTAGATGTGAATTTTATCCAGATTTTATAGATTCACAATCAGTCAAAGTTAAATTAGACTTTTTTGTTCATTTTGAAAAATTGATTCTAAAATTATATATAAATTAAATGACTTAGAATCCCCAAACAAATGTGAATAACTACAACAATCACTTTGGAGTATATTATTAACTTGTTTCAAGATTATAGTAATCAAGGCTTTTTTTGACATAAAAGAAATAGAGAGATCAGTGAAATAGAGAATCCAGAAATATTCCTTATATTTTTATGAGTACTTAAAATTTCATAAAGTTTAAAACAAAATTAGAAAAATATGAACCGTGATCCACGCTGAACACTGTATACAAGACCGCGTGGAAAATGGGTCATACAACCAAAAACAGAACACATGACAATAAAAGTTAAAGAATTAAAACTAGGAGAAATATTTTGAGTCTTGATTAAACAAAAGTTTTATATGTATGGCTTTAAAAGCACAAACTGTAACTGATTGAAAATTAAAGTCTTATGCTCCTTGTAAGATGCTGCTAAGGAAATGAGAAAAGTAATAGATTGGAAGAAAGGTTTGTAAATCCTATGTCCAGCAAAGCACTGTATCTAGAATATTGAAAAGTGCTTCAGAACTCAGAAATAAGGGAACAACAGCCTCCGTGTTCTAGTTTCACAGTTGTTGCTGTAATAAACACAATGAGCCAAAGCAGCTTGGGGAAGAAAGGTTTTCTTTGATTTTACACCAGTGCATCACTGAAGGAAGGCAGGGCAGGAATACAACCAGGAGCTGAAGCCCAAACCATGGAGCAACACTGCATGCACGCTTGTTTTCCCTGGCTCATCTTTCTTATCTGAACCAGGACTATCTGCCCAGAGGTAGCACTGCCCACCTCTGGTGGTGGTGTGTGTGCCCTCCCATACCAGTCAACAAGAACAGGTCCCACAGACATGCCCACAGGCCAGTCTGAGGGAAGTAGTCTACCAATTGAAACTCCCTCAAAAGACCTGGGACTGTCAAGTTGACAGCTACCTGATGCTAAGGAAATCATGTATTAAATGGACAAAGTATTTAAAGAGATATTTTACCGGTAAAGAAAAATGGATAGCATATCAGCACATGAAATTTTGTTAAATATTATTACTCTTTAAGGTAATGCAATCACCACGAGATAATTAAAATTGCAAATACTCAGGATGTATATTAATGAGCATATAGGAAATGTATATTTTACTGAACTGTTTTAGTTGACATAGGTTTTTGTGCATATGTATGTGTGCACAGATTATTGGTGTATTACTTAGAGCTCATCTGAGGTAAATATATTATGATCTTGTTAGAAGTTTGTTACTGAATCATTTTCTCCATTATACTGTTAAGATCCTACAGTATTGATTTGTTTGCTGTTTAAGAAACAAAGTTTTGTTATAAAGCCTATTACAGTCTTGAATCCTTGATTCCTCCCCTCTCTGCCTACCTCACTCCCATCACTAACTTGGGTTACTGACTTGGGATATGAGACTTCCCTCCCCCTCCTCTTTTGTATTTTAGCTGTGGATGCAGAAGCACAGCTCTCACTCAAAGGACTAGGAGAGTTTATCCTGGGGCCAAATAGGAGTGAATATGGCCCAGGAACACAGATTTAGATTCCCTCAAATTTCATGTCAGAGTAGTAACAAAACACAGAAACTCAGAGTGAAGGGACTTTTCAAA